AAATGAGATTCAGGCTATGAAAACTTGGCCTTTTTTTGATTCAACAGAAGTATCTATGTGTTTGCTATATTTTCTTCTTCATGTGTGCAAATTAGTTCTTGCTTTATTTTTTTCCGTGTTGGAATTGGTCTTCTATACATGAATGGTAGTATCCAATCAGACGGAGTCAGTTTCAATGGGTGGTGTCTGCTCAAAAGTTTTCAATGTCTTGGTTTTTGCTCAATACGTGTATCTTTCTTACTTGATATTGTAGAATAGTATGAATGAGTTGGAATCAGATTTTCACTTCTCGTTTTAACAAGATATATAACAAATTGGTTGTTGAAGAATGTATTTGATGTTTGGGTGTAGAATATATGAGCGTTGAAGGTAAGATACAATATAAGCTTCTTTGAATAATTTCCTACGCGTACGGAAGTACTAAAAGGAAAAAATTCAAATGAGGCTTGAGGGTAGGATACGATATAAGCTTCTTTGAATAGTTTCCTAAGTGTATGGAAGTACTAAAGGAAATGATCCAGAAGAGCGAGGAGGTTTAAAGTTAGGTGGGCAACAAGTGGGAAGTTTGGATATTTATATGCGAAAGATCTCATCAAAATTGGGTTATATGATCCTCAAATAAAGGGCTACGCTAGAGCCGAGACCACTTGACTCCAAAGGGTCTTGTTATCAAACAACTAGGCCCTTGCGACAATAAGAAGAGTTCCTTAATCGTCGCATGGGCCAGTAGGCTGTGAGATATCTGATTACACCTAGGCCCTTGCAACGATAGGGAAAGTCCCTTAAACGTTGCAAGGGCCTGGAATGGATCGCTATAAGAGCTTTGATCACAAACAGGCCCTTGCGACGGTAAGGAGAGTCGCATCCTTAATACAGTCGATTGGCGGGATGAATTGCTTGAGGAGTGGAGTTTTCCGGGTCCTGAAGCACCCCATACCCTTGATGCACATACGCGAGACTCCAATTGAGCTATGAGTTAGATTGTGCGAGGTAAAGCATGTCTTCATCGAGATCAGGATGAACTTGGAAGAAACGGGTAGTGTTGAGCCAAGACACGTTCAACAATGCAGAGTTTAGCAAACAACTCTGCTGTGGGGATGTACTGGTGGGGCACTGACATACATCCATACCCTCTGCGAGGGCAGTTGAGCTTCTGTAGGTCGATAATAACATCCAAGAAACAAGAATTTATTGTGGTTGTCATTGGGTCCAATCAACTATTTCAAGCCTACACAAATCATTGTGAACATCAAGAATCCAACTTTCTGATAATGTGATATTCAAAGGTAAGCATGTGTTGATATATTGGCTGATGTGGTTGGGTTTTCTGACGTAGAGCTACTATGACAGTGTCCTGTCTTAAGAACATCATCGATGGCCTACTTCGATGCTAATCATGTCCAATGTCAATGTGTTGCTCTCGGTTGCCATCAAGAAACTTTTGAATTCGACCAAGAACTTCATATCGGAGTCCTGTTCTATCGTACAAACTACCCACGCCATTTTGAAGCGCTTCAGCTTGCAGAGTCTCAAGTGAATCATGAGCTGGAACAAGAGTCTCAATTGGTTTCACATCTAGAACACGGGGTAGCTTTAGATTTATTGTCATCCAGAGCCGATGGTCCTCCAAAAAGAGGTCGCTCACCTACCCCAGAAGCAGAAGACCAACCCTCACAATCGACTTCAGCACTGACAAATCGGCCTAAAAAGATACTTCGTAGAGATTCTCCTCTTTTGGAAGACATGGACCTAGTCACCACTCTAGAAACCTCTCGCTTTGTAATCCCTCAAAAATTTATTCTTGACATCCAATGTATTCAAGTCATAGTACATATTTTATCAGACTTTCTTGAAAACAAGAAAAGTCATTGTAGCTGCCGCCGGTCTCTCAAATTTGAACGTACAAGGATGAAGCAATTAAACTTGAATGAAGATTGTACTGAAAGCTGGAAGGAGATACCACACACAATCATCAAGGCTCTCAAGATGTTCCATCTTGAAATTAACATCATAGATACTGTTTCTTGTTCAGTGTGCTTTGCACTTCAAGATTCCATACCTCCAGCGAGCTCAACAATCTCAGAAATGATGCTTCAGTGTAGAAATTCACGATTCCCCTCGAAAACTTCTGCTGACAATCGGATCATCTGTCAGACACCTCTCTACAAAACCCCTAGCAAGATCTCAAATGCAAACTCGAAAAGAAAGCCTCGGAGAATCTTCCATCATCAATCACTAATTGAATGGCTTGCTACTATGCTCAATTTCTCTATTTTTGAAAAGGCCATAGAGGCTTCACTAGAAAGCAACCAAAAAAATCCTAAAGGTGTCTACAAGGATGTCTGGGATGGAAAACAATGGAATATGTTTCAAGATGTCAAAGGGAAACTGTTTACTCGAAAGCCAGGTAATATTGTATTTGGCTTGTATTGTGATTGGTTTAATCCGTTTGGAAAGAGGGCAGCCAAGCATCATTCTGCGGGAATTGTTCTTCTTATTTGCTTAAGCTTACCACCAGATATACGTTACAAAGCTGAATACACTTTCCTATACGGAATCATACCTGGTCCAAAGGAGCCGGACTATAATAATGTTCACCACCCATTTCAACCACTGACTGACGAGCTTCTAACACTTTGGCACGGCGTTCATTTCACTTCAACTGCTGGCCATCCTCAAGGAAGACTTATACGAGCAGCTATGTGGCCTCTAATTGCTGATTCACCTGCA